CTCATAGGAAGAAAATAACTTAAGCTTCTTCAGTCACATGTTACGCCTCTATTAATTATTGGCAATTATTTTTACATGCCATCTTAGCTGGCTTGCATTTCTTAATGCATAATTCTTTTGCTGTCTTATGCATGATCCCTTAATAATAAATTCTATCAAGACAACAGTATCTGTGCCATCATAATAGGTGTTAGTTTTTGTATCTCTTTTGACTTGAGTCGGTACAGAGCATGCTACATGCACTACTAAAAGTAATGAATCATGCATTGTCATTATCTCGATTATGCTGCATAATAAAGATAAAGAGTAGAGAGTAGATAATAGAATAGTGTATAAATGCAAGAGCAGCTGTGGTGAGTCGAAGCACTGTAGGTGTCTCGTTGTGACTTTTATTCTTTGATATACGCAATAATTTTGTTGTGTGTTGATTTTTGTTATTTTGTGCTCGCCTTCAATCCACGTAATTTAATCCACCCACATCCAATGCCATTCTATTGCATAGACTATATGGCCAGAGCAATGAAATGAGCTCGTACATAATCTATTTTGAGCACTTTTCTTTGAAAACATGAATTTTTAAGTACTCAAAAATTACAATGTATGCAATAAATTTTGAACATTAACATAATTTACATATTTGTAATGTAATACATAACATCTATACAATATTTTCTTTATACAGTATCCTATATACCTGATGTTCAGTGTATCTTTGGTCACCTCCTTGAGAGTAATGTACAATATTGCACTCCTAACCTTTTCTGGAAAAACTTTAGACTGGAGGACAACCAGTCAATGTCTAAGGATACCAGGTACGTCATAAAACAATGCCCTTTTACTGCACCTACTTTTTTGAATGCTTCAGAGTTTTTCTCAAGCTCTACTCATCAGATAGATGAGACTCTTAAAGTGGGTGTTGCTAGTTATTAAAGGTTATTAATAGTTATCTTATTAGAAAAGATTTTCATTTATTCATTAATTATTTTATTGTTATTTATTTGTTTTTTAGAAAAGAGGTCACAGTAAAGTATTTGAGTAGAGATTCGATGGGCAGTTATTGGACCAAATCATGTCACGGCTGTGAATATACATGTAGGTGCTTATTGTCCACCATTTTACATGTACATAAGTACATGTATTACTTTTACATGTACACATACATGCATGAATGAATAAATTTTTCCATTGCTTTGTTCTATTTTTTTTTCTCATTCTTAATTCTTTATCTCTCTCTCTCCTCTTTTTGCTCCTCTCTCTTCTCCTCTAAAGGTTCAAGAAGCAACAAGGTTTTATGTCACTCCAGCTCTCAGTAGTTCAGTCTAAGAACCATACTGAGAGTCTCTAGGAGTTTGTACAAGGTGACATGCTTGAGGGGGACAACAGGCACCTTTGTAGAGAGTTTCAAGAGAAGGTACGTGATTCAAATATCAAAATATAATAATAATATT